GTCGGCGGCGGCGCCGCCGCGGCAGGAAGCTGCAGGTCTGAGCAGATGCACGTCCAGGAGACGGGATTCCGTTTCATGGATGTTTTGATTTCCTTTTTGGAAATCTATCATCGCAGCAGTGCCAGAGTTTTACGGCTGTGTTCAGACGGTTGGTCCGGAGCCAAATCACAGACGAGGACAAACTGTCAATCATGTGGGTTTGTTTTTTTATGGAGTGTTTGAAGTTCATATTTATCTAACGAATCGACTTATTGATTAATAATAATTGACTTTGATTTATTAGTCCAACAGTGGGGACATTTCTAGTGTGAGTCTTTGCAACTGACACAGGTTGCCACTAGAGGCGCCATTACAGTATGTGGTTCTATTGGGGATCGAACCCTAGACTCCCCTCTGCTTGTTGGAGCGGTCCCCCTCAGGGCCGCCTCCCTTAGGTTGAGAACGGCCTAAAACTTTTTTTCTTTAGTTTTTTTCTGCCTAAATTCTGTTTGTGCAGGAGTCACAACAGCGTAACAACAACAACAACAACAACAACAACAACGTAACCACAACAACAACGCGGTGCCGTACACGGTGAGGACGCTGTGTTTACACCAATAACAGCCGATTCAGTGGATCTGAAAATAAACAGAGATTCTATCCCCGTATAATTCTATCTGTCTCTCGGCAGAGTAAACACTTGACGCCGCGGTTTATTTCTACGGACGGAGGGAGAAAGATGATGGCGGTCGCCGCGGTGTCACTGTTTCAAATGATCATCAATAAACAAATCTAATCTCCTCACTGTGTGTGTGTGTGTGTGTGTGTGTGTGTGTGTGTGCAGCCAGCTGAAAGCCCATCAACGTCTCATATTCAGGGCTTTATTTTTGGTCACTGATGGCTATCAGAACCTTCCGTCTGGGTCGGCGTCTTATCTCCACTCTTTAACAACGCTGCACGTTTGATTCTCATCTGTCGGTCGGCGCCACATCCTCCGCTTTCCAGTAAAAAAATCTACTCCCAGGTTTTTACAGTTGAACTTTTGAGTTCATTCTTTCCTCTGTTGTCTTTACAGACCTGCTTAGAAGACGGAAAGAAACAAAAAATAAATCAAAATAAAGAGAGAGACGGAGGAGGTGAATGGATGTTGAGGCTGCTGTGCACGGTCTGGACACCGGGGGCAGACGGCTGGGGTAACCAGACAGTCCTAAAAAGGCATGTTTTCACTGTGGAAACTAGTACCAGGCACCAGGGACGCTTAAACAAACTCCATTTCCACCACAGGGACCGGGAACTCTGCCAGCTCGGTCCCAGCTCAGGATGTTCGACTACGTGGGAGTCGCTGAGCGTTACCGTGGCGACGGAGCTCCGCACACAACAGACACACGCAGCGAGGTGGCTACTTCAAGACCCCGTGTTCACGTGAGTGGATGAAGATCAGCGGTGAAACCTGTCAATCACCCGAGAGGCCTTCAAAGTTTGTTAGCAGGCTAGTTAGCTTAGCAGGCTAGCCATTTTCGAGGGGATTTTTATGTTCTCTCTAGTGTAAATGTTAGCGTTAAATCGTAGTTTTTGTTTGTGTTTTACATTTTTATACAGTATATATTTGTGACGCTTAACTTTTAGTGTGAATATTGACTTTTTTCAGGATAACATTCAGACGTCTCTGAGCTAATTTGGCTACTTCTGGTCAACCGTAAGCTGTAGTTACATTGTTATAATTTTTTACTAATTTATTTTTATCTTCCGTGACAAAACAGACGGAGAGTGATGCGGTGAAAACCCTGTTCTTATTCCTGCCAGAGTCAATGCTGGACCAGGACCAGGAGATGTGACAGTGATAGCTGTCAGTCATCCTGGAACTCCCCCTACTGGTCAGCAGACGGACCTGACGTCACAGGTGAGAGCTGAAGGTCTGGGAAACTCAGTCAAGTCTACGGTAGAACTTTGGGAACTGATGTGGATTTTTCTCATTTCAGGTCTTGAATGGATGCACATCTGATAAGCTGTGGTTCACGGGGTTAAAAAAA